ATTGGAACATGCTCCCCGCTCCCAAAGCTGCCCTTCATGCACACTTGGCTTTTAGCAGAGTGAAGGAATGGGCTTGTAGCTCCTCTCCTTGGGGTGCGGGTGTGTTTGGGGAGGGGCAGCGGTGAGGAGGAGGAGGAGACCAGCATGAGGAGGGGCCAGAGGGCTCCTCCTCTTTCCTGGAAGACCAGCTTACCCCTCCCCCCATTTCCCTCTGTCTTACCAGTCCCAGGGTTCCCAGTGCTCCCAGCATCAGTGCTGCTAAAGGCACATCAAACCACTATCCGTGTGCACCCCAGAGCCTATCAGGTGGAGGTGAAACTATGGCAAGAGGTTCCATCGCTTCCTTGGAATCGGGGGCAGGGTAAAGAGGTGGAGAGGACCGTGACGGCGGGGCTAGTGGGGAGTCTGTGGTGTGCACCTTGTTTCACCAGGTGAAACCAAGGGCTCAGCACATATGCTGGGCCTGTGAGGGGGGGCACCCCGGATGGCGAGCGCCAGGCTGGTTCACACCCAGGAGCGTTGTTCCGCGTCGTAGAGAAAAACCTTCCAAGACTCTTCGGGCCTAAGTGGCAGCTTCCTCTTCAGCCAAAAATAAACAAGGAGCAACCAGAGGGCAGACGAAGGAACAGGGCAGGGAGGAAACGAGAGGCTGAGGACAGCATGTCGGGGTGAAACGGAGCTGCATGGGCTTCCTGTTTCGGGTGCTGTGCTCGTCCTTCTGGCGCAAGACAAGACTCTTCGGTGCGGTGCAGGGAACAAAGTGAGAGCCGAGGCGCAGCAGGACAAGACGCCTGCAGACTGGGGCGGGGGAGAGGAGCGAGGCGGAACGGGAGGAAGCCTTGGTTTCCAGTGGAGCATGAGGCCCTCTCAGGCTGTTCTCCTGCGTATGGACGTGTTCGTGGGACAAACCTTCTGAGACTGATTTCAGAGGAGGTGAGCCATCGAAGACCCGCCCTTACCCTGAGCAAGTTCATCCTCCCATCCTCTTACGTCATGACATTTTCTGATGCTCACAGTTCCAAAACAGGGGCTAGAGAAAGATTTCAGGACCCACACAGGCGTTTTCCTGGTTACTTGTTTCCACGAGATGCCTTACCCAGTGACTGAATGCACGAATGACTGATGAACGATTCCATGGCCAAATGAGATTAGGGATGCTACATTTTAATCTGCTGCAAATCAATCTGTCCTTAGAGATTACAGAACAAGTTAGCATGGTACGAGCTCTGAGAAACCCCGAGCTAAAGGAATTTGTTTAACATGTCAGTTTTTAAACTTACCTGACCCAGGCCAGGCCTTCTAAATTTATAGTCCACAACACCATAGACTATGCTAATAAGGCCCCCGGATTAAACAATGTGGTCATATAGGGTGACCCTACCCGTGGACCGTTTTCCCCTTTACATAACACCTGTTAGCCTCTGGAGAGATTCCTGCATTCTATGGGTCACAGCTTAGGCGACACTGGGTTAAGAAAATGTCTTGCCCATCACAAGATTGCAAATGGCGCTACTTTCACACCATATTGGAGCTACACGTCTGAGTGGGATTGACCGGTGCCCGTGAATTCACCCCTCAGTCCTGCTTGGGACCCATAAGATCCTTTTGTAAGATGGTTTCCTGAGATAAAGATGCAGCCTGTGGCCACAGACAGAAGGTGAGATTAGCTTTGCATGAGAATATCATTCACGGCCACAGTTTTCTTAGCTCAGTGCTTTAAGGAAATGGCTTTTGATCTAAGTCAATTTTGATATATCTTTATTGATTTCAGAGAAAGGAAAGGAGAGGGAGAGAGAGAGATAGAAACATCAATGATGAGAGAGTCATTGATCGAGCGCTCAACCTGGGCATGTGCCCTGACTGGGAACCGAACCCCGATCGCCTAGGATCCCAGGTCGACCCTCAACTGCTGAGCCACGCCCGGCCGGGCCTAGGTCAATTTTGGAATAGGCAGAGGTGCAGGGCATGCTCCATGATCCTTTTAAATGTTGAAAGGTCACTGATAGGCAGCACCGAATATATACAATAAAGAATTCTCGAATGGAAATGTGTTTCGGAGCTGCCAAAGAGCTGGAATGATCTCTTGGCTGTTTCCTGCCTCTTGAGTAGCCAATATCCTGTAAATCTTCAGTGTTTTTTGGTTTAGATCCTAAAACAGGAATTCCCAAGTTTTGTCGCACATTAGAATCAAGCTTTTAATTCTTATGCCTGTGTTGCATCCCATACCAATGAAATCACAATGTTTTGGGTGGGAGTCAGGCATTTAAAATTTTAAAAGATCTCCAGTAATTCCAATGTGCAGCGAAGTTGGAGGATTGCAGGCTTAGAAGCACTTTTATTTCCAGACATTTAATTAAACCAGCAATGCTTCTGTGAGAGAAGCAGGACAGGAATTCACCGTCACCCTCATCTTGTTTGGTGACAGAAGTCTCAAGAAGTTAAGGATCTTGATCAAGGTCACACATTTGTGTTAGGCTCCAGACAAGTGTCACTCCTTTGAATTTCTTTAGGTCAAATCCAGCATTATCAGACTAGATTCTGGAAATGGTAGGATAAGAGATTGAGGTGGGAGTGGGAGGAACTGGAGTTGAAAACCCAGTGGGTGGAACGTGGGCCTTTGTGTCTGAAGGAGAAACGTGGAAACCATGCCTGTGCTGTGCCTCCCGCCCCTCCGTCAGTGCTGATTCTGTCTGCGGATGCTGGTTTCGTTTCGTTTATAGAGAGAATGGAATCTTTGTGCCAGAGTTGAAGGAGGCTGTCAAAGCCCACAGCTTGTCTTCGGACTTAATGTCAACTATTTGTCTCCTTATTTTCAAACAAACAAGTTCTCCCCATGAGTTTTGAGGCTGTCTCAAACATTTGCTCCCTTGGTTTTATACTTTCCTGGTTCCTGAGTCAGCAGTTATGAGAAAAACTTGCCATTTTCTAGAACTGGGCTATCAGCCAGAGGCTGTTGTAGGGGTCCAGTGACGTATGGTGAGGGATTTTAGGGCTGTTGTGGGGGTCCAGTGACTTGTGGTGAGGGGTTTTGAGCAAGGTGGTGACTTATACAATTGTAGGTTCATGTTGAAACAAACAATTTATTAATAACTGGACTTCTTTGAGGCTTCAGGATTCATTAACTAGAAACTTAGAGGCAAAGATAAAAGGAATTATCCAAAATTCCCAAAATACCACCAACTCAAGGCAGCTTTTTCACCACCTGGCATGATTGAGCAATCCTATTGTACATATGGGGTGAAGTACAAACACATTCCTACCGAATACAGAAGCTAAGTCAAGGATTTCCTTTCACTGTAGGCCGACAGGTGTGGGCGGGGACACTGGGCGACACATTCTATGTTGCTGGGAACTTGGAATGACCTGAAATTCTGGGACCTGATGGTGGGTCCTAGAAGAAGATGCTTCCACTTCCAAGTTTTAAAAATTATTATGTAAAACTCTCAAGGTTAGAGGACTATTTGAGCATTATGTCTTCCCTAGCCTCAGAAAAATGACACTGAATTCTCCTAAGAATCTATTGTCAGGAAAGGTTGCCACTGGGACAATAGTATGGACTTTCTCTGTAAGGCCTGGATCAGAGGAGGTTTGACAACAGCTAGCCTTTATTTATTTATTTATGAGTATGAATGAATCTCTAAGATGCTATCTTTTGTTAGGTGTGTTATAATAAAATGCTAACATTTGTAATAATTTACTTTATAGAGATAGTGGGATTTAAGGCTGTCCCTGTCTACAGCACACTCACTTGTATTCCACAAAGTTCTCTCGATTAGAAGAAAAAAGGGAGGAAAACCTGTGAACTGCTTATTTCAGGGGAGTGTTTCACAGATGAATGAGTCAGTTGAAGAAAAGATTTAGAGCCATTATCAGTGTAAACTAAAGCTACTCAGTGTGGTCCTCAGACCAGCTGAGTTACCTGGGAGTTAGTTAGAAAAGCAAATTCTCAGACCCACAGAACAGACCTAATGAATCTGACCAACTGGGGTGAGCCCCAGCCCTCTGTGTTTTCACAGCTTTCCAGGTAATTCTAGTGCTCACTAAAGTTCGAGAAGCATTTTCCTAGAGTGATGGTTCTCACAGTGTGGTCTCCTGACCAACGCCATCAGCATCTCCTGGAACTTGGTGAAAGCCACCCGGGACTCATTCCCTGGGTCTCGGCAGGTAGGTCCTTGGCACCTTTAGGGGTCCATAGGCCACAGAAGTGGCAAAAGTGAGCATATAAACTAATGAGTTCTTAGATAAAAATTATCTGGACAGGAACTGAAAAGATCTGGATCTGTTTCCCAACACTTGGTAATTAATAACAAAACCTTACAGATGCTCAATGGCTCCCTCCCACCTATGGTTTAGAGCACTGGCTGCTGAATCTGCAGCTCGGGTGGGGGTGGCGTGGCAGGGGGAGGCCCAAGACCTGTGTGTGTTGTAACAAGTCCCACAGGTAGGTGGACCTTCTCAAGTTCAAGAGCCACGAGACTTTAGTTTCCATCAAATTGCCCGCTGCGTGGCCATGTAGAGATTGGCTTCCCTATGTCAGCCTGGAGTCGGCTCCTGCCAGCTGCCCATCTCTGCCAATGCCAGGCTGAGACGTGCAGCCGGGAGGGAGGGAACTTGGCCCACTGCAGAACGTGACCACGCTGGGCTCCGGGGGAGATGGCGTGGCTTTGAAGTGGAGACCTTTCTTCACTCTTTCTGTGGTCCAACCTCCATGCAGGCCTGAAAGCTCAGAGCCCGGAAAGCAGAAAGCCTGAGCCCGCACGACCAGTGCGCTGGGCTCGCCGAGCCCGTCTCCTGCTCCCTGGAAGGCACTTCCTCCTCTCCGAGGGGGTCATCAGCCTCATGCAGAGACCCTTGCCCTCGAGCCCAGGACGGCTGCCAACCACTTTCTTCTTAGGTCACTTTGGGGTGGCTCTAGGTAATGAGTATATTTTCCCAAAGGTATTTGGACCCACGATGTGACAAACCCTCTAAAACTGAACAAGAGAACTGATACAAGAAAGATGAAGGCTGATGAAGGTAGGGCTTGAGGCCTGGAGGGGGGCTTGTGCTGCAGGCTGGAGCCTGGCGGAGGATGTGGGGCAGGTGAGGGGTCCCCTCGCTGCATTGGTGGGGGGAACACAGCATGTTGGGGGATGAAAGGGCTGCTGCCCATTTCATCCTGGACAGTTTTAGTTTCCCATCTGCCAGATATTAGCAAATGTCCTAACCTTCGAGCTCTGTGGCTTGTGCACTTGCTCCGAGGAGACAGTGGCGAGCAGTCCAGCCTGTGCCTAGAAGCTGGGACGTGCATTCTCCAATGAGAGGTGACCCCGCACACCTCGCCTTCCTGGGACAGAATAGTACTCTTGCAGAAACATGGGACCTTTCACCGCATGCTCTCTCCTGACGGATGTGTTCCCAGAGGAGCTCCAGCTCCTGACCACCCCGGGGGCGGCTGGAAGGAACCGTGTAACCTCATCTTCTCTTGATTACCCCCATTCACAGTGCTTGTCACTGAGTTCAGGCTGGAGGTGGAAAGATGAACATTTTAATCCCACCGCCTCTCAGACTCTTATTGAAATGACCAAAGAAATAGAAAATCAAGAGAAGTGTGCACCCCTTGAGAAAAGAGAGGGATGCACAAGCCGAGGGAGAGAAATTCTGAGGCGTTTTCTGCTAGCCTGAGTAAAGCTGCAAAGGGAAGAAGGAAGGACTGCCCCTGATTTAGTATCTACACAGAATCAGCTGCTTGATAAACTAATGGGTAGAATTCCTAGTAATGCCCCCCAACCACCAAACATCCCAAATTTCTGGCCAGCAGCTACAGTAAAAACTTATGAATGTTTGAGCCCATTAGACTTGAGATCAAACCTACCATTTGCTAGTTGTGCAAATGAGCCAGCCTTAGTCTTATCCTCTGTTAAATGGAGCTAATACTCATGCTAAGGTATAACAAGGATTAGATAAAATAGTGCAGGCAAGGAGACATAGCCAAAATTCTCATGGTTACCGTTTATTGATTACTATATACCAGGCACTGTGCTGAGGCTTTACAGACATAAATTTCCTTTAATCCACAAGGAAGCCCTGGTAAGTTGATCTTACTTTAAGGACTACTTTACACATGAGGCAACTGAATGAGGTCTAGAAGTGTTAAGACACTTGTTCGAGGTTCACAGCTGCTAAGGCCAGAGAAGGATTTGAACTCAAGCAGTCTAAGTGCAAAGTCTGTGTGTTCAAACCCTGAGCTATGCTGTTCCAAGCCCTTAACATATATCACTTCATTTAATCCTTACAGTAGCCTTATGGTGACCATTTTTATGGGTGAAAATGGGAGTTCAGAGCTAAACAATTTGATGTTTATATAAGATCTGAAACCCAGCCTGCGTGACTCCAAGTTCCCTGCTCTTTACTATCACACTGTTCTTTAATTGATATACTCAGTGGAATGTGATTGTGTTTCCCAATTTTGCATTAGATTTTATTCCCCTTGAACAGAGGGGATTGAGAGAGTCAAAATGTAGTTCCAACACTCCCCTTCTTTGAATTATTGTGTGCAAGAGCCTCTAAATCGCCTAATTTCTCCTTGTTGGTAGAACTCACGGAAAACATTGGGCTTCCCCTGGAACTGCTTGAAGAACATGAGCCTTGGCCAGCCTACGTCACATACACCTCCCCGACGGTGCAAAGACTCATCGAGAAGAGCAAAGCTAGAGAACTGGAGTGCATGCAAGCTCTCGAGGAAAGCCGGTGGACTCTGAGGCAGAGTAAGCCTTCCAGCATCATCCAGATGAAAAGGAAAAAGTCATCCAAGACCTCTGCCAAAGCGATGCTCATGGACACGAAGTCTGAGGCCATGATGTCGGTGTGGAGCACTTTCTCGCTGTTGGCTGCAGCTTCCACGCCAGAACCCACACAGTTTCATACGGATTCCAGAGAAAGTCCCACTGCAAACTATAACAAGATCATCTTCTCTCGAAAACCTCTGATGAGGATGCTTCCATACAGCTCACTTCTGGCCAGCAAGGAAAAACATTTAAATGTTTAGCAAGGAGTCCCTGCCACCATCCCCCAAGATTGTACAGCAATTAAGCTTCATTTGCCACAAATTTCACTATGTCCTTTAAGGCTGAACTTGCCCCTGCTTGTACAGAGGTTGGCTGAGATAAATCAGATCAGATGTGAGCTGGGGGTGGGTGGGTGGATGGGCATACCCCCTCCAGCATCACAGTCGGATGGGGCTGGGAAGTCCCAAGCTCTAGTCCACACTATTGATGCTTAGGACCTAACTGTGGGTAAATTAGCCTGGGCCCAGACAGGAGACAGGCGTCACACCAGCTATGTTATTAAAGATAATTTAATGTAAAGAATTATTAACCAGGTAACTCAAGAGACAGGAGGAGAACATAAAGTTATCGGTGGAGGTAGTACATGCAGGAGGCAGTTATCACCTCCAGGGCGGGGGTGGGTGGAACAAAGGGAAGATGTTGGACCTAAAAGTGAGACAGTTGGAGAAGGGGCATGTGGGCTGAATCTCAGGTTCCCGAGGTAGGGGAGTGGGGTGCTGCTTAGCTGGCACTGGTGTCTGAGCTCAGAGGAGGACCCCTATGGGGATGGCACCCCTGCCTCTGAGGAGGGGTGCTGCTTAGGCTGAGGTTGATTCTGTGAGTGTTGGGAAAACCAAAAAAACTGAACTCAAATGCTTCTAGAAGGAATCTGCACTACCTGAGCGAACAAGAAGCATTGCTAGGGGAAATAGACAGGGACAGGAAGCCAGCAGAGATAAATAGGAAGTAAACCAAAAACGAGTTCCTTCCTCCTGCTCTAACCTTGTAGGCCCCCTCTGGCGCCCACTGTGGGCAGAGCCTATAGGGAGGAAAGCAGGAATGTGGTTTGCAGAATCCCAAACCCAGCGTCTCAAAGAACAGTGTGAAACGATGCACTTGAAGCAAAGGGAAAACGAGCTTGGACCAGCTCGGTGGGGTTCTTGGTGACCCCTCCTTGCTGCTCCACTTGGCACCAGACCCTGGTATTGAGATGCTTGTTCCTTGGAGAGTTTACAAAGTGGCAGCAGGGACTTGGCTGTCCCCTGCTAAGAACGGAGAGTTTTCTGTAAGGCTTGCCTTGCCAAGCAGAGCTGGTGGGGAGAAGTCCGTGGCTGGACCCCAGCTGTTATTTGTCAGACCTCAGCCAGGACTGGCCCACTCACGCTCTGAGCTGTTCGGCGGGTGCCAGAGCAGGCTGCTGAACAAGTCAGTGTCGAAGCGCACAGGCTTGGTCTTCACACGTGAGGGACCTGGTTATGCTGGCAGCCCCGCTGGCCTCAGATGTGGGGTTTATCTTCTGGGCACAGCTGCAGGGGGGCTTTTCTTTCCTTTGACCCCACCTGAGTTTCTGTGTGTTTATTTCTAATGCGGTGGGAAGCACCTCACGCTTCCCTCGCCGAGATGCAGAGGACGAGGTGCGCTGGTTGCTGTAAATGCCACTTGAAAAAGTTGACTTTGCCCTAAAGTGTGTGCTGGCCATCCCAGGGTCTGTGGACACTGCTGCTCGGCTCTGGCCGCTGCGAGCTGTGCTGGGCCAGCCGCCCGGGGAGGCCCGGAGCGCCCTGCGGGCTGAGCTCTGGCCGGAATAAGCTCACGAGGGACACAGTGGCTGCAGCTAACCCGAGCGGCTGCGTTTGTGTGCATGGAGCACTCAGACCTGGAGCCGTGGATAAACTCCAAGACACTTCTCCCTGCCTTTCACGGGAGGTTATCGCCAGAGGAGATTTAGGAAGCTGTGGTGACAGCGACCCGCTGAGAGAGAGCGTTTTTAGGAATTTGGAATAATTTCTTCCCATCCCTTTGAGCGCAGAGCAGTCACTGTTCTTTTTTAAATAAAACTTCTAGGTGTTTCATAGCTTTTATGAAAATACATACTCCACATTTAAATGAGTGTTCTATGAGTAGCGTTTCGATTAATTTAATTCTCAGCGTATTGTAACGACCCTCACGTGGCGATGAGGCCTGGCCGCACCTGCCACGCAGTCCTGACGGTCTGTCCCCTGAGGCAGTTTTAACAAAGAAAACGTCGAAAGAGGGACTCGCTGGAGCCCAAGCTGGGGTGCAGGGCAGGGCCACCCCTGCGCGAGGCCCGAGGCTGCGGGAAACCAGCCTGCGGGGCAGGAGGCGGGCGGCGCGGGGAGGGCTGGCCTGAGGCTCCTGGGGGCCGGGCTGGGGCTGGGCTGGGGCTCCCCCGCCC